CCAAACCCAGCACACCCGGCACACCTGAATAACATCGCCAAGATGAAGCGGATACACGGCGATGAGAGATTGCTGCAGCAGACCCGCGACCTCGAGGCGAAGATCTACGAGGCCAGGACGCTTCGCGCTCGTCCGTCTCGTCGCTGCAAGGCTGACTTGGTGGAAGTGTACGGCGGTCAGGCGGGCATCACTCAACGAGCACTCCGCCGAGGTTTGCGAGCGCTGCAGCCCATTGACTCCATCTACGGCATCGCGCTGAATGGACGAAAAGATCATGTGCGCTTGCGCAATCTGATCCTGGCTCAGCGACCCTTTCTTGTGGTGTTCGAGATCGCCTGCACGGCTTGGACTCACATCCAGAACCTGAACTACACCGCGGCTCAGCTTCACGAACTCCGTCTCGAGCAGGATGAGGCTATACGAGATCGAAATGGTCAAGACGATCGTGGCGGTGGAGGAGGAGTACGGCGGCCACTTCCTCATCGAGAATCCCGCCTACACCGACTTCTGGAAGCAACCCGGCGATGCTCAAGCTCCGTGCGCGGGATGGAGTGGAGTTCCGCGTTGGCCACATGTGTGCCTTCAATCTGAGAGACAAGCAAGGCCTCCTCATGAAGAAGCCCACTGGTTGGCTTTCAGACTTGCCCGCTGTCTCCCTGCAAGTGCCAACAACCACATGGACAAGTCTTGGGCGGCAATAGCAAGTTGACCCAGGTCTAGAGCCCGGAACTATGCCGAGCCCTTGTGCGAGGTCTGGAGACATCACTCAGAGAGGCAGGCGATGAGCGCTACAACGCCCACATCGATGAGGAGGACATTTGGTTGGCCGAGGCACTCAACGCTGAGGAAACTCGGATCGAGACCTGGCAGCCCTCGGGAGAGTGTTCACTACATTCTGTGTTCTTCCTGGACATCACACGGCGCGAGGACTCTTGGCTCCCCATCCTGAAGGAGGCTGAAGCACAACTTGAAGGCAAGGTACGGCCTGACCGTGTCATGCCTCCGAACACCCCGTTCTTCGAACAGGTGAAAGCGTTGGTGCCGTGGAAGTTGACCAGAGTGCAGATCTGCCGCACTCCCATGCAACGCAGGCTGCCAGTGGATCTGATTCAGGAAGGCGCCAAGCATCGTGGCGTAGCCCTCTGGTACAACGACGGCTCAGTCGAACTGGAGGCAGAGGCTATCAGCACAATTTTGGCGGGCTGGCAAGTTCTCGCGCCCTGTTCGAGCAGCAGTTTTCTTCTACGGTGTCGCGCCCGACCCGAGCATGAACCCTGAGGAGAACAAGTAGCCGCAAGACGGCAAGTCTCAGGTCAAAACAGCGGTGGAGACGGAGGAACAAGACATGCTCCGCCCGCATGAACCAGGCTATCGGGATTTCACCTTCCCCGGCTTGGACGGAGCACCTCGATGGCTGTTGCAGGTACTTCGCCGCATCCACACCAACCTGGGACATCCACCTACCGCTACGCTGGTGAGGCACCTCACCGCTGCCGGCGCTTCGGAACAGGCCGTGCAGGCTGCAAGGCATCTACGGTGTGAAGTGTGCAGGCGAGTACAACCTCCCAGACAACCACGGCCAGCGAAGGTCTTTACACCACGCCGTTTCAACGACAGGCTGGGTATGGACATCCTCTTCTTAAAGGACATCACCGGTGCCGTCCACATGTACCTGTCCCAGGTCGACTACGCCACCTGCTACCACGCCCTCAGCTACCTGGTGGACCGCTCCGAGAACACCATCCTTCAGGTTGTCAACGGCTGGATGACATACTTCGGCTGTCCCGATGAAGTCATAGCTGATGCCGAGGGCAGCTTCAGGGGCTTCAAGTGGGAGAACCTCGCTTCGCAATCCTCCGTCAAACTTCGCTTGGTGCCGGCAGACAGCCACTGGCAGTTGGGCAAGGTGGAGCGACATGGAGGCACCGTCAAGTACATGGTTGCTCGGCTCGTCAGCCAGTTTTCTCCGGTGGGAGCGCAGGAGCTGTCGCTCATCGTGGCCGCGTGTGCAGCTGCGAAGAACTCCTTGATGAGATGATCCGGCAGTAGCCCGGCGCAATGGGTTTTTGGCAACAACCCCAACCTTCCCGGCGCCTTACTCAGCTCGGGTGGCGACATAGAGTCATGCCAACTCGCCAACGATTCTCAGGCCCTGCAGCGTGTGGAACAAATATGCGTGGAAGCCATGACAGCCTTTCACCGCTTCGAGTACGACTCTGCACTCAGGGCGGCCGTCCCTTTGAGATCGGTCAGCGTATCGCCTACTACAGGAAGCGCAACGCTGCCGACGGTGAAGGCACCAACGAGGGCTACAGACAGGGCACAATCGTTGCAGTTGAAGGCCAGACAGTCTGGGTGCGAAACACCAAAGGCCGCCTCATTTCTGCTGCCAAAGAGCAAATACAGCACATCGCCGGAGAGGAGGAGTGGTGGTCATTGCCCCCCCTGGAGCAAGACCTCCTTAAAACAGTGACCAGGATCTTCGTGATAAGCACGCTCCCCTGGCTTTTCGCGCTCCTCCCGACGCTGTTCCTCAACCTGCTGACGATCTTCGTGCTGCTGAAGGGCTGGATTCTGCTCTACGTGGACGAGAACTTGTTGCTCCTGCTCAGCGACCAGCTCTACCTCTTCTGGACGCAGACGGACATCCCTTGCTGCACGATCGCATCGTCCCTATGATTTCTCCTTTGATGATCGTGCCCTCGACTCCGAAAGCGGCAGCGGCTGTACCGGGCACTCCGCCTCTGAAGTCGCCAGCTACACCACGACGGGGGCGGAGTCAAAGCAAGACACCCGTTCCTGCTCGAGCAAGACAAAACGTTCTTTCTCCTCTACCTGAAGATCGAGCACAGGCGCCATCAGAACCTCCTGCACTACCTTCAGAACCTTCTGCGCTACCGCCGGGGCCATGACCAAGTGACCTGACAGCATCTGCGGATAAGGCGCCCTCAGAACCTCATGCACTCTCCAGAATCTTCTGCACTACTACCGGGGCCACCAGCTCAGGATTCAGCTGACGCACGCCGGATGGTGGATCGTTCAGGTTCGTTGTCTACCTTGCCCAGGCGTTCTCAGGACTCGGGCACCACAGCATCTTTGCAAAGGCATCTGGAGCAAGCCATGGAAGACGCCGGATTGGCCAGTCGTGGAGTGAAACGTACCGCTTCTTCTAGCAGCCCGGCGACAGCCACTAGCAGGAGGACATCAGGAGCTGAACCTTCTCGTGACCAACATGAGCCCGATACGCAAGCTACCGCGCTACTCAGCTTTTGTCGAGAATGCGGTGAACAACGTCGCACTGTTTTGTCAGATGGACTGAGCCACTGTGTTCGCTGTTCGAGCACAGAAACGGTGGATACTCCGTCTGCTGTGAAATCTTGGTTCGATGAGGTTATGGAGCAAGAAGCTGTTGACCGGCGCTTTGTCGAGAAGACTTTCGGTCCCTCCGTGCCTCCTTCGAGTTCAGATCATCTTCATGACCATTTTGGCATGTCAAGCTTCCCCTCAAGCACTACCACAAGGTGACCACTAGAACGACTACGAGTACTACGACGACATGCCGTGAGATGGCAAGTCGAACAGGTTGGGATGGCAGTCCTTCGGAACTACAACCCTTCTTCGAGAACAACGCCTACCTCGCGGCGGCCCACCTGTTCGGAGACCACGCCGAGCCCGCCTTGTCTGCTGGCCCTCCTGGAGACAACGCCTCAGGCCAGCATGCTACGGCTCACGTGACTCATGCCAAAGCAGTCCCAGCTTCCGAGAGACTGGCCAAGCAGCTTTTCCAGGAAAAGAAGTTCGACAAGACCACCTGTTATCAACTTTTGGACGCCGTGCAGCTGGAGTCCGACAAGCGGGCGACCCATGCCCACTCCGCCGGATCCCTGGTGCTGGGCTTGTTTTCCCATGGAGGTATGCGCGGCATCACCAAGGCCACCAAGAGACATCGACACTTGGCTAGGTATATCTTGGCTTACATGAGAGCCAATGGGATGCAGGATTCGGCCTGCCCTATCACGTCCCTCTCCATCGGCAAGAACGTTCGAGCGGAAGAACACCGCGACCTTCCAAGGTGAACGGTACTCCATCACGGCCTTCACCACGAGAAGCATTGTTGATGCTGAACGGCACGTTCGCAGACGACTTCAGAGAAGTGGATTCTTTGCTCCAACCAAGTCGGCGACCTGCTGGACATGCGACGACGAGGAGAGCGACCGTGAGCTGGACTTCCGTGACCAGGACATCCACGAGGCCTATCCTGTCAGAGAATGGCAGACACCCGGAGAAGGCGAAGTGGCCATCATGGAAACCACGGACGAGGAGGCTGATGGTCAACCTCTGTCGAGAGTGGCCCACATGGCGCGCAAGAAGGAGCTTCCATGGAGGTCCATCCCCGCTGCAGAGGTTCCCAAATTCGTCCAAGCGGTGATTGATGAGTGGTCCGAGTGGACCAAGTGGTCGAGCTGTCGACCTGTGCACTTGGCCATAGACAAGATCGACCCGTCCTTGGTGCTCCGGAGTCGGGTGTGCTATCGATGCAAAACCAAAGACGACAGCTCGGTCAAGCCGAAAGCGAGAATAGTCGTCGCCGGGTTCAAGGACCCGCGTTTGCCATTACTCACCCGAGACGCACCGGTCTTGAGTCGGGCGGGACTGCAGTGTCTCCTCCAATGGACAGCCAGCAACAAGGGCGTGTTGTATAATCCGGATTGTAAATCCGCCTTCCTGCAAGGAGTTCCCGACACGGAAAGACCGGAGCAGATTTTTATGCGGCCCCCGAGCGACGACATCTCCAAGCAAGCCACACCGGACTGGTCTTTGCCGACGCTTTTGTATCGACTCAGTGCTCCTGTCTATGGTCAGGCAAATGCACCGAGACGCTGGTTTCTGCACGTTCAAAAGACGTGGAGGTCTCTGAACTGGACACCACACTCCCTGGATCCGTGCCTGTGGGTTCTCAAGAAGGATGGCAAGGTCCAAGCGGTGTTGGGACTCCACGTGGACGACGTGTTGATGAGCAATTTGCCGGGCTTGGAACACCTACTGGAGGGTGTCCGAACGAGCTTCGAATGGGGAGGCGATTGGCGTCAAGGAGAATGTACGTTCGTCGGCAGGCACATCTAGTCCAGCAACCTGACGGATCCATCACGGTCGACCAGACGCACTACGTGTCCGAGATTGCCACCACGAAGACAAGCCTTGCTCCTGAGACGCTCCTGTCCGAGCACCCTGAACTGGTTTCGGAGTTCCGATCGGGCATTGGATCACTGCAGTGGATATCTGGGACAACCCGAGGCGACATCTCGGCGGACACGTCGCTGTTGCAGAAGTCCCCCAAGGACCTGACCGTCGGCGACCTTCAGGAGGTCAATTCGGTCCTCAAGTATGTCAGGGCAACGAAAGATGCCTTCTTCAGGATTATCCCCATACCGTTCGAAGAGCTTGTCGTCGTCACCTACGGCGACTCCGGCTTCGCGAACGCCCCTGGCGGAAAGTCCCAAGGAGGTCTGGTTGTGACGGCCACTGACCGGAGAGCTTTCCAAGAGCGGCGACCCGCCTCTCTACTCGAGTGGCGAAGTTACCGCCACGAGCGTGTGCTTCGGTCAACCTTGGCTGCGGAGGCGGCTTCCCTGGACAAGGCCGAGGACTATGGCAACTTCATCGCCGCGATGTTGTCCGAACTCGCAGACGGCAAGCACATCGCCTCCATGCAGCAGGCTCCTCTCTTCGAGGTTGTGCCCGTGACGGACGCACGCAGTCTGTGGGATGCGGTGCACCGGCTGTTTCTAGCTTCCAGGAGAAACGTGTTGAGATCAGCGTAGCCTCCTTTCGGCAACCGTGCGCTGGGTTCCAACGGAATATCAGCTCGCAGACTAAGAGACTTCTTCCGAGGCTGGATGGCCTGGCGGTTACCCTGGTGGAGTCTAAGAGTCCCGAAGACATAGCTCTGCCCGAGGATGCTAACACGTCCTGGAGGAAGGCCACGCGAACAGGCTATGTAAATATAGAGGAGTGATGAAATCATTCCCTGAGTAGCCGTGTTCGCATGTGCAGCCAGAAGTGGTCGCTTGTTCCGCTGATCAAGCAAGAGGGTAGCGCTTGTGAGCCAAAAGCGTAGATGTCCGGATGCTTATGGTGTAGGTCCAGGCTCCGCTTGCAGGGGTTACGTTGACCCTCAACTGCCTGCAGGCGTCGAGGCAGGCGTCTCCACCCTCATCACAAATCTCCGCTCCTACTTGGACGAGAGCGATTCTTGGCTGAGCCTTAAGGATTTCGGATCTAGGACTTGGCGTTAGGCATCATGGCTCGGGCTTAAAGATTGGGCCTTGGGTTGGGGATTGGGATTTAGGGTTTGGGATTAGGGCTTGGATCAGTAATCAGGATTTAGGGACCAGGGTTGGGGATTAGGACCCACGGCCCGGGGACCAGATCAGGACCTAGGGTTTGGGGACTAGGTCTCGGGCTTAGGTTTGGGATCCGGATTTATTTTTTTTTGGGTTTAGTGATTTGGGCTTAGGTTTGGGGAGCGGAAGTTGGGGTTTCGGGCTTTGGATTAGGGTTCAGGGATTTAGGGTTTAGGGATCCGCGTTCGGGGTTTCGGGATTAGAGTTGTTGTTTTTCAGAACAGGTTTATTCTCATTTAGGGATTATGAGCCCTGTCTGGGAAAATCCAAGTGCTCAAGATGGCATCTGGCATCTTCATTCTGGAGCAAAATAGGAAGGAGGCCCGGAAGTGGGCGAACGCAGCCTAGTGTCCTTCAAACGATCGCTACGTGGGTTACATGATCGCTTTGGGGAGGGTACCTTTTTGGATGTGCCTCCGAAAGTCGGACATGGTGAAAGCAGACCCAATCCCATGTAAACCTCATCCAGCCTGAAGGGAACCTCTGCTATATTTTGTGCGAGGCATGGGCATAGGGCCCATTGAATTTGGTGCCTGGCCACAGACCTTGTGCGGCCCAGCAAGCCGTGGAACAGAACAAATGAAATAGGCGCTGGCAGTTGGATATCGTACACTTGGCATGAACTACCCGGCGACATACTTTGGCAATATTGCAAGGTCCCACCTTCCTCACACCATTGGCACTCCTTGAAAACAAATGCGGGAGTAGTTCAGGTTATAGAATGAAGCTCCATGGAACAAGTGTCCTCTTCAGAAGGGGATGGTACCTTTGTCCTGAATCGCATAACCCCAAACTGCAAGCCCAAAGCATGTGTTGTTGAGGGGAGGGTAGGTTGACACTCTCAAGAACGCAATGTTGAGACACCACGTTTAGTCTCTTTGTAGCACTGCAGTTCAGCATTTCAATCAAGAAAGCGTGACCAGGATGTTGACAACCGAAATCGTACATGCTGCTAAGCGTACTGTACTGCAGTTGATAGACAATTCCTGAGTGCCACATACCTGTGCCGTAGGAACAGGATAATGAGCTGGGATGTACTTTGCCCAGCAACAGTAGCATAATTCCCAGGGTTGTGGTATGTGGAGTCCTGCAAGGATTTGTCCATGCACTGTATGGGTTTCTACTGGAGTACTGGAGTTCAGCGCTGTGAGTGCGAGGAGTTACCATTGGAAGAAGTCCTACAGCAAAGCCCGCAGTCATCCTCCAGCAGATGTTGGGGCTTTGGGTTTGGGGTTCATAGCCTCAATATCCAAGCCCAAACGCTATAGGCTCCACAATCTAAGGCCTCAACAACACCGCCTAAACCCTGAGTTTGAAACTTGACAGATTCAACCCGGAATTCTTGTCGAAACTAGGACCTGCAAAGCAACGACCGGAATTTCGGAGTTGCAATCTCCAGCATCCCGGCTTGTACTACTCAGGTTTTGGGAGGTTTGGGGGTTTGGGATGTTCTAGCAAAGCCGAGATGCCTATCTGTTCTGTTCACCACAGTTGACAAGCTGGCTTACCAGTACAGTTGCAAGGTGGAGTTAGGATTTGCGTAGTCGTGTCTCGGATTCAGTGCTTAGCCCTACACTAACTCTTAAGTCTTAAGTGAGTCCATAATTATCTCGCATCTAGCTTATGCTCATGCAGGTTTGATCAGGGCTGTGACTTCAAACCGGAAACCCTAAACGTTATGTATTTATTTGTGTCTGTACATATGCTCACAAGCTCTTGGGTTTAGGGGTTGAGGGTCTAGGATCTGGGGCTTCCATGGAAAGCCGGCTATGAAAAACAGTTTGTAGAGCATCTGCCCCACATGCCAGAGTAACCTCCAACAGTATTACTGTCTTCTGGAATGATATTTGATCTGAGTATTCGCTCGGGGGATGGTGTGTTTGAGTCGGAAGCCCTAGGGCACGTCTTTGGAGAGTTCACGTGCCACGTCTGTTGAGCTCAGGGTTTAGGGTCAACGTTTCCGGTCCAGAGCTTTGGTCTTGTTCAGGTTTACGCCTGCTCCACCACAATCCGCGATCGCTACTCCCCCATGACTTCTTGGAAACCTCAAACCCTAGGTCCCAACCTCCACCCTCCACCCCAAATTCCTAAAACAATACCTACGCACTTCTACCCTCCAAAACTAACATGGACCAAGAAGGCCCTGCAGTGATTGCTGCCTTGTACAGGCGGGCTATAGAAGGTTTTGTATCTGAAGCCTGAGCCGAGGCTGCGAGGATCAGCTCCAGGACGTTTGTCCTCCAAGGGTGGAATTGGGGTCGAGGGCCTAGGGTTCCAAGCTTTGGATTTCAGGTGTAGGGCTTGAGAATTCGGGGACAGGATCCTCTTCTTCTGCGAAGAATCTTGGGTGCCTGCTCGAAAAGGCGTGCCGCATGGCAAAGCAGCTGGAAAACCAGGACCGTGGAGATGAAAGGCTGTCGATGAAGTCTACATCATGTCCTGCACAGGCATTACGCCTTCCCAGGCATGTGTGTGCCTTGGGCCTGCTTCGCGCAAAGGGAGCACCTTGCAAGAGGTCTTGGAGAGCGTGGACACCGGCAGATGTATAGGTTTTAGAAGAGATAGTGCAGGGTTTAGAGCCCAAATTCTGATAGAAAGATTGGATTCAACAGTGACTATGTATGGGTACATTCTGTTATATACATGCTACGTGGAGGCTAAGACCCTGAACGTGCAGCCTATAGGTTCGGGAGTAGGGGTCATGGGGGTGGCTGGCTTCAGAGTAGTGGTTTAGAAGAAAGCTGTACAAGCAAAGCCAAAGGCATGGTAGCAACAGCAACAATAATAAGATGCGTTGAGAAGTCTCCAGATTCCAAAGTGCAGTCAGCCTGCAAGATTTCACACCTTGTCAAACGTACACCGCACCCCGAAACAAAAACCTAAACCCTCAAGCCCGAGACCTTGCAGTGGGACTCTGTCACGGACATCCGAAACCTTAACCGTGGGCCCTGAACCCCAGTGCAACGCACTTCCCTTGTTCCTTCCTTGCTTCTTTCCTTCATAGTTTGTGGCTTAGGGTTAAAGGTTCGGGGGTCTTTGCGCAACTGCCCGCATCTTCCCTTCCCTGCCTTGACACTGGCAGCTGAAGCAGGTACACTATCGCCATGCGAATAATGATGATAAGAATTTGGTGTCCCTTCCCTCCCAACCTTTCAGGCTGAAACCCTTCAACCCTACGCTGCGGGCTGAAGCAAGTCTCCCATCCCACACCTGCAGCCACACGGACAGTAGTGTAGTGTAGCCAGACAAGGGGTTTCCATACATAGGGCGTCCCAATATTATAGACCCCATTACTATACTATTCTAGGCACAGGGAATCCCTTTTAATTTTGGAGCCCCTTCAAGTAAGGAGGCCTCGCGCTCTGAGTTGGCGGCCAAGGGCGCTTATATAGGAGCAGAAAGGAGCGCCTGGCCTTCACAAAATCGTGTCCGTAAACAGTACCTGATAGATCCGAATCTAAGGTGCTAGGGCCCAACTTTTTTGAGCGCACACTCTACATTCTCAGGCTCTGAACCCAAACCCTTTACTCTGAGGCTTTAAACATGCAACCCGAAACGCTATACCCTAAACGCTACACCCAGATCCCAAATCCCCCCAAATCCCCAAACCAAACTCTAAACATTAATCCTAAGTCCTCGACATACAGGAGTTGACCCATTTAGAACCCCTCACAGGGTGGTGGTGTCCACTTTCTTTTCTGTACCTTCCTTCCCTACAACCAGCCAGCAAGAGGAGTGGCAAGAGATGCTCTCCGACGCCAAATCAGCGATTCTCAGATCCGACACGTTGAAGGCCATGGGAGTAAGGACACGGTCGAGGGTTTAGGGTTTGGGTTTTGGGTTGTAGGATGGGTTATTCTAATTCCGTCCGCATTTACAAGCAGCATACCTACAGTAAATGCACCTAACAAGGGCTGTGCTTCTAGGCAAGAACGCAGAGGCATATAGGTATCTTTCAAGATGATTCCTATATGACTGTGAAGGGGCATCCTCGCACGCAGACAAACCTTGCCCAATGCTATCCCCATTTTGAGAAATCCACAAGCATGCTCTAGCAGCAGGCAAAAAGCAACAGGATTTTGCATTGCCTCCTCCACACGCTGCGGGTCTTATTGCTGATTTTTGTTTAGGTTGAATTCATTAAGGCTTTCAGTGCTTAGGGTAGCGCACGGGGTTGGGGATTTGTTTAGGTATTGCTGATTTGGGGTGCTACTTTCCTTGGGGTTTGCCAAACGCTTGAATTTGGAGTTTGCGGTTTTGGGGCTCAGGGTTCTAGAATTGGGGTCTAGGATTTCTGAAGCTTGGAGTTACGTTGAGCATTGGCAGCTGCCATGACTAACAGTAGAAGCCTGCAGTGAAGTTGAAGGTTTAGTGT